TACAAAGGATAGGAAGTTATGAAGAGCTATGAACGCCCACGTCATGAACGGACACGAGAAATAGAAGAAGATAAAAAATGATTTTTCACAAAATAATATTTAGACTTGGAGTAAGGATTTAGAAAGGGGACTGCAAAATGTCCCCCAACATACATAAATTAAACATTTTTTTTACAATGATGTTCTCCCTTGTCTAAGGCCCGGGAGCCTCCCGTGGTAGAGCGTTACATAATAAGATGCATAGTTTATGCGAATATGCTAAAAAATGATATGAACACGAAGGGGATCTTCTTGAAAACAATACACTCAATATCGCTCGGCATAATTTCAACTTAAAGAATGCAAATTTAACCATTTGAGCCGTGCGTTCCTGGACAATTTGAACCCTTCTGCCTGAGCTTCTGAGTCAAAATTCGCAAATAATTGTTATATAATGTTTCACAGTAGATATAAAACTCGTCATAAGTGTCATATCCGCCGTTCAATCGGTAGCTGGGAATTACGTCATTTTTCTCTACCACAGGTAAAGCTGTAGTCAGAGATCAATGGGCTAATTAAAAGAGAAAGCCATTTTTTTTAAGATGGAACACTTCTGAAAATGAACTAATTTCGGTACCTTCTACGTTAAATTTGCGCTTCAGGATCATGCAACATATCTCTTCTGTTTGCGAAACTGCTTATTTTACAAGTTGGGATAATTAAAAAAACAATAAATATAAACACAATAAAAAAACTGAATGAAGTCGGTTAGGTTAATTATTTACATACTATCGGACGTCGAAAATTTAAATTGAAAGCTGAGTTGCCAACAATTTTTAACGTTTTCAAATGTAAAATTACACTTGGCGTTTATTGTATTTACCCCTTCTCCCGAAGTCTGTTTTCATCAATAAAAAACATTGTTAGTCTGAAGAAGTTCCTACCGGGCATGAAACGCGTTACATAGGATTTTTTTTTTGTCTTTCGATTACCCATAAGGAAATAAGTTAATCCAGCTTCTTTAAACTTCTTTATCTGTTAATTAAAAGGAAGGTGAGATAAAAATGACTATTTTTTTCATACCCGTTTGTGTTGATACCAGTCGAATGTCCAGATGAGAGCCAACCACCACTACAATGCTATCACTTAATTAATGAATAAACAAATATCTTCAAAAATACATATGGAAAAAAAAGGGTACAATTAAGACTTTAGGAGAAAAATGTTTATTTCTTAGTGTTATGGTTCGGTTCCTTGTACCACGGGTGATAGTCCAAGGTAGAACCAATAAAGAAGAACGCGAAGGCGGATATGGAATAACACAGATATATTACAAACAGGAATATATACAGAGAAGTGGAAAGTGTTAGTACGAACAATCAGGTTTAGTAGTAATTGTCTGAACATGGCTCTGTTTCGGACTGCCTCTGACTCGACTGACTGACTCGCTCGCTCTGAATGACTGACAGACTCCTGACGGACTTCACTCCAGACTTCAGACGGAACTCTAGACTTCAGACTAAACTCCCTGCTTCCTCTTGAGGCGCAGTATTTATTACGCAGAGAATAGTCCATTATGTTATTATGGGTAAGGTCCTATAAAACTTAGTAATACCAATTATAAGTACAGAATGTTTTAATTTAATTATTTTTTTTTAAATTTGAAGCAATCGGTTGATATATTAAATACTTTACTCCTCAATTCAGACATTAACAGATGATTCAAAAGCATGTCAGATTATTACATGCAGTTCACTATATTAAGAGAAATCGTTTGTGTTCACTAAATGATTGTGTAAATCTGCCAATAATTGGTTTTGCATTCAATTCATCTAACAATTCCTTTTTAATGGATATGTATGATACCAAATTCTCTTCAGGCAGCGAATTTCTTAACTTTGCCATTATGATCTTTAGTTTTCGAAATGTCCTCTCACACTGGCCGTGAGTAACTGATAAAGTTCTTATTCTTTTTTATTACTAAAACTCTTGTCTGTTTATTTCTTTATTGCATTTTTATTTGATATAAGGGGTCCACTCAAACAGCCAGATGATTGTCTTTCTCCAGAGAAAGCTAAAGGCGTTGTAAGTGAAGAAAAGAAACCACTCGTTCAAATATCTCCTGAAAATATTTAAAACGGTAAACAAAAGGTAGATTTTAGCTCATCATTTTATATATTGATTCTTTGAGTCAATGTGGTAGTCCATCAATATTTGATGCTGGTAAATCAGTATTAATACGAGGCAACTCCAATGAATTTTCGATACCTAAGGTTTAAAATAAATCTTTAAAAATGAAAAAAACATTCTTGAAGCTTCAATTTGAGCTCTAGTTGAAAGATAAATGATTAAATTTACTATTTCCAGTAAGCAAAATACTCGGGTTTATTTCAAATAAAAATTATATTGATTGAAATCTCACCTTTTTGGTCGTTTTTACAAAATCGGTCATTTTTAACACATTTTGACACACTTGTAAACAAAAATTAATTCTCGCATTTAAAAATCTCCCAAAAATGAAATATACTTTCCTGAAACATTATTTGAGGAATACTAGCTGATTTTACGTACAATTAATCTGATCTGAAACAAAATATTATTTATATTAAGTTTAAAATAGCAGAGAAATGGAATTTTAAAACATGCAATAACGGTGATTACGCGCTTATCACTGTCGCCTGTCACTTGCAGATCACTTGAAAAGCAATGATAAAATCTGTCAACACATTTACTGTTGTTCTACGGGGACTATATCTGTTAAAACATAATTTAAGCACATTTTTATGTAATATTTAAGTACACAGTAATCTTACAAATATTGGAAAATATTCTCTGTAATTTAATTTTAGGAATGTTGAATTCAAATTTACTATAGTCATCGCTCTGATCTGTCGGTTGGGGTCCTGCTTTTATTGACGCAGTCAAAAACTGGGGTGGGTCTGTCGACGCCAGGGTTTTCTTGATAATTCTAAAGACGTATTATTTCTGATTAGGGATTTTCCACCCTCGGCAACTCACTTTCACTCCTACTTCCTTACTGTGCCTCTGGGGGGGCGTATACCCGCTTCCCCTGGTCCTTCGTATGTCAGGTGACCGCTCTCGACCAATGGGGTCCTGGTCGGGTGTCTCTCCTCCTCCCTCATGTATCATGTGACCGCCTTCGGCCAATGAGACTCTGGTCGGTATCTTTCCTCCTTCCTTCGTGACGTCTTTAATTGGGCGTGGACAATCCGTGGCTTTGTTCTGGGGGGGGGAACACCTTGCTTAAAAAAAACAAAAACTTAAACTGTCCTTTTCGTATGTGACCGAAATGACGCTCTCGGCTTCCTTCACACGCGGTATCTGTCAAACAGCCTATCGCTAATTGGATACCATCTAAGAAAGGGATTTCTTAGACCTGTCGGCGTTTCTCTGAACGCAACAAAATATTTCAATCTCCTCCGGCCAATAATAAAAATCTGTATTATCTCAAAAAAAAAAAGCATTTTCTAATCATCATCTTGTGTGGCTGTATTTTCAATTCTGGTATTGTCTGGGTTCTCGTATTAATGGATTGTCTGTATATCCTTAGATAAGCTTCCCACCTGTTACCTATCATATTTTTTTCATTGTCTCTAAACTTTATTTCTTCAACCAAATTGATAACAAACTTCCATCCTCCGCGGACACGGAAGTAGGTCAGGTGCTTGACCTGATATTTTTGACATCTGATATGTGCCAGTCGAGCGTGTGTGTTTTCGCTTACGACCTGGTTTTGTATTATTTATTTTTCTCCTTTCTTTCCTCTTCCTCTTCTTTTCTTTCTTTCTCCCAGATCGCCTGGACGCAATTAAAGAATTATTCTCAAAACCCAAATATTTTTCAGCTTTAAATAATTATCAAATGGTTAACAAACCGAAAAAAACAAATCATATATTTATGAATATCTCTTTTCAGTTTTCTAATTATGCATGGTGCCACATAATTAAAATTTAAAAAAATGAAAAAAATTCTTACAAAATTTCATTATTCATCGAAATTGTTTTTCATAAGACTATAATATCCTTAAATGTTATTTATAAAAGTAATTAAAATCTTTTCTAATTAAATAATGTCATAGTTTTATTACATTTTTTGATTTTAAGATTCAGAGTTGATTTTCGGGAAAAGTGTAGTAGTTTAAAAAAATGAGATTTACATTTTCCAAGGAGTCTTGCATTTAACTAATAAAACAAATTTTGAGATTGCTGTTTAATTTCTCGAAATTTCATAAAATTAAGTGTGGGGTGGGTAACATATGTAAAAAAAAAAAATTTTTTACCAAGATTTAAAAAAAAAATCTATCTATCTATCTATCTATCTATCTATCTATCTCAGTTTGTCCCTATCTATCTGTCTCAGTCAGTCCGTATTTGTATATCTCAGTCTGTTCGTATCTATCTCAGCCTGTTCGTATCTATCTATCTATCTATCTATCTATCTATCTATCTATCTATCTATCTATCTCAGTCTGTTCGTATCTATCTATCTATCTATCTATCTATCCCAGTCTGTTCGTATCTATCTATCTATCCCAGTCTGTTCGTATCTATCTATCTATCTATCTATCTATCTATCCCAGTCTGTTCATTATCTATAAATCTCTCTATCTCGCTCTCAATACACACACACACACACACACACACACACACACACACACACACACACACATATATATATATATATATATATATATATATATATATATATATCGGTAACTGGCAATGCGCGTATGTGTAGATGTTAATTTGCATTAGGAAAATCCTCTTGGCATTGAATTTCAGTTTCCCAACCCACCATCTTTTTTTTTTCTCTCAGTAAAGTTATCTGAGAAGCCTCCGCATCTTTCAGTCTCAAAGTGCCAATACTTTTATTTCAGTTTTGTTGCGTTCCGGTCTTGCCTCATCGCATTTAAAGCGCGCCCGAATTTGTCCGATAAAAAAAAAAAAAAAAAAATTCTCCGTCCCTTCCCCTGGCGTCACACAGGCACCCTCTCCTCGAGCATGCGGAAAGAAATCGACGCGTCCATTACCCTACTCCCGCCGCGACACATTCACACTTGTAATCCTCAAAGGGTTAGGATCAATTTCAAAGAAAGGCAATTTTAGATTCTATCCCAAAAGTCGACTTACCTTGTTCGTCGACGCGATTTGCCTCCCCTTGTTTCTAGGCATAGCCAGAGAGACGCCACATGTAAACGAAAGCCGATATTTTGCATCGTGAAAGTATTGCAGGTTTTGCAAGCACATAAATGTTTCAACTAGTTTAGTTATGGAACAGGAAACACTTAAGCGATCAATGTTGTCACTGAGGTTGGTTTTATTCAATGAAGTATGTCATGGTGTCACCACTTGTACCTGACATGGAAGAATTCTGCCTAATACATGTTGTACTATGGTTACTCTTAACACAAAATTTTCGTATATTAATGAATGTAAGCTAGATAATACTAATATAAAGGTAATGACGTTTTTATGGCTATTATGGCGTTTTTTCCATGTCATTCATAACAATATTCTTATACCTTATGATATTGTTACGATATATTTATGACATTTTTATATCACTCTTATTACGTTCTATGCCGATGATCCTTTATGACATTACGCTTTTATGGCATTCATGACGTTTTCTGTCAGTCTTAAAACATTTTTATGCAATTCTTATGTCGTTTTTATGGCATTATTTTGATTTTATGACTTTCTTATGACGTTTATATGACGGATTTTATGCCTTTCCTGACATCCATTGCTATGAAGTTTAATGACTTTCTTTATGAATTTCTTATGACGTATGCCGTTTTTATACTACTTTTCTTTACCTATGACACTTTTATGACATTCATATGGTTTTCTTGTGACATTTTAAGAGATTTGTATGCCATTCTTGTAATTTCTATGCCATACTTATGGCGTTTTTATGACATTATAATGATTTTCTTAGTCATCCTTATGATGCTTTTTTCACAATCTTCTGATATTTTTATGCCATTATGAAATATTTGTGTCATTCTTATGAGGCTTTATGACATATTTCATGACGTTATTAGGACATATGACATTCTTATGATATTTCAATGCCATTATTATGAAATTATTACGCAATTCTGATAAGACTTTTATGAGATGTTAATGTTATTTTTATGACGAATTTACGACAATTTTAAACAATTCTTATGATGTTTTATAACATACTTATATTTCCATTTACTGAGAAAAAATCTTGTTTTTGACATGTGGAATGTTTCAAAGCTTGTAAAATCTTCACCCAAATTCAATGAAAAGAGATTACATAGCATTATTTCTATTGCATTTTTATCTATAATCGGCCCCGTTTGATATCACGATATTTCAAACCAGTGTCTTAGGACAAACAGATAATAAACCCTCAATAAATTTAATTTCCAACAGTATATATTTATTTTTGAAATTCTGTCCGAATGTCAATATAAAAATGGGTGCCAAATTTTCTGCCATTTTAAAAATCGGTTACTGAATTGGCGATTCGTAACACCTTTTTTTCTTGAAGTTTTATGCCATGTTAGAAAGTGCAATACAATTTCCCTCGCATTATTTACATTGTTCAGAATGTTGTCGTCATCTTCATTTCCATATTCAGAACGTTTCGGTGGACGAAATAAAGGCTTCGGTTTGAAATTCCAATCACCTGAAGAAGGTCAAAGCATCCAACGGCCAAAATGTTGTAAGTATGGCAATGAAGATGAGCAATACAGTACGAATAATGTAAATGATGCAAGTAATCATAATACCTCATCTCAGAGGCCGAAACGTTGTGAATATGGCAATGAAGATGACCATAACAGTCCGAATAATGTAAATAATGCAAGTAATCATAATACCTCATCTCAGAGATATAGAGGCCGAAACGTTGTGAATATGGCAATGAAGATGACCATAACAGTCCGAATAATGTAAATAATGCAAGTAATCATAATACCTCATCTCAGAGATATAGAGGCCGAAACGTTGTGAATATGGCAAACAGTCCGAATATGACCAATAATGCAAGTAATCATAATACCTCATCTCAATATAGAAAACGTTGTGAATATGGCAAGACCATAATCCGAATAATGTAAATAATGCAAGTAATCATAATACCTCATCTCAGAGATACAGACAGATACAATTTTGCTCTGAGAGATTAATATTTATGGAACTTTTTTTCATGGACTGGGGTATATTTAAGTTTGTATAGTTTCATGTAGATTAAAAATCACAATCAAAAAAACCCTAAAAAGTATAAAAAATACATTATCATAGTAAAATTACATTTTTAGGTACCCTCTTCCACAAATGTGTCCACCTTGGCGATCTGTAATCCCCGGGGGCGGACGTCTGGTGAATGAGCATTCCACGACCTGGGTTTATAAGTTGTCATGGGAGTTTCCGCATCCTTCTTTGGTTCTTCAGTCAGTTTTGTGCCATGCGTGATACACACTTAGGCGATCATGTATCTTTCGATACATGACTGACGATTGATATTTTGTTCCCGCAGTAGGTTGCCATTTTTTCTACGGTAGACCAGTTGCCATCCAAGGCTGTAGAACCCGTTCCGTCCTGGCTGGGATGAGGAGAAGAGGATTCATACCTTTTCCAATGAATTTGACAGGAATTCAAACTCGGTTCGCCAAATCCTCAATCCGAGCCGCTATCCATTACTCCGCCGGGCCCCTTCTACTTGGGCAAGATGGAAGTCGGAGAGGCCCGATTCGATCAATCTCCTGATCATCTCATCCCTCGCACCCATATAATTAAACCCGAGAATGCCTTAAAAACGGATCACTACCATAGCACATAACAACTGCAAACTATATGTCTAAAAACACACGTTTAGCCTCAAAGCATAAAATTATCTACAAAAACATCTGTAGTATCTCTGCGTTCAATAATATTTAGATTTCGATATTAAATGACCCATAGAGGTGATGATATGTCGCTAAATAAAACCGACCAACTAAGTGTAAACTTTGAACTTTTCAAACTGACGCCAAAAGGGTAAGGGTTAATGTTAAATATCAACTTTAAAATAATTTAATACATAAAATATTACTATAGTAATATTATAGTAATATAAAATACATATTAATACATAATTTAGACATATAAGCTTCAATCTGTACAAGGCCCGGGAGCCACTCGAGATAGAGGGTTAAGATAAGTGGTAGATTATATGGATTATAACGATAACGGTTGACTCTAGACTTGAACAGGTTAAAATTGTAATGACTGAGGAAACATCCTCTAGGGAGTCAGTTCCTTAGGGCGGTGGTTCGCGGCAAGTAGCTGTTTGTGTGGAACTTCCTTCTCGCCGATGGAATATGGGTAGTTTGCTACTATGTAAGTGGCATGTCGGGTCTTAGCCGTGAAGGTCAGAGCTGGTGGGACCAGGAGATGCAGTCCGTCCGAGCACTTCGCATGGTAGTAGCGGTAGAGCAGTGAGAGACTCGCTACATCCTGCCTGTGTGTATGTGTGTGTGTGTGAGAGAGAGAGAGAGAGAGAGGGTGGAAAATAATTCTTCTCCTACAAGGAATCGGAACTGTGTGACATATTTAACGTTCTCAAAGAACCAAATCTCTCACTTCAGGTGAAAAATGACCACAGTTTTCAAGACAGCAGATACGATTCCTCTATTCGAAGCTGAACTGGAATTAAGAAAATGGCGATTGAATACAAGGATTTTTGACACGTTGGCAGGGATTATGAACTGAAATCGAGCCCTCATTCACCAAGCCGGTGCGTGATCACCTATCCCATCTTTCGAAAGAGTTTGAGCATTATTTTCCAACCGCAAAAACTCCTGGCCAGGGAAAGGAATGCATTTGTAATCCATTTGTGAAAAATCCAGGTGAATCAACTGAAACCCTGATAGAAGATAAGCTGCTTGACATTGGCGGCCTTAAAAGTATATTTGAGATAACTCAAACCTCCTTCAGTCAGTGTCATGCCTGATACATACTTAGGCGATCATGTATCTTTCGATACATAACTGTCGAGGCGGGTTCTTATCAAAGTAGGTTGCCATTTCTTTCTGGCAGACCAGCTGTCATCCAAGGTCTGTCCTGCTATTTACCTTACCCATAGCTGGAGGGAGAAGAAGAAGATTCATACATTTCCCAAGGGTATTAGCACGGTGGAGTAATAGATAGCGGCTCGGATTGAAGAATCGGAGAGCCGAGTTCGAATTCCAGTCGAATCCATTACATTCACTTGGGAAAGGTGTGAATCCTCTTCTTCTTCTCCCTCCATCTATGGATAAATAGCACGACAGACTGGGTTCTATAGCCTTGGATGGCAACTGGTCTAGGAGAAGGACAACTCTGAATTCAAAACCTGCGGAGGGTCGTTCGGGGACCTTTGTGACACTGAGTGCACCAGGTCTCTGTAATCGGTCCTTCAAAAAGTGTGGATGGTCCTGCACAAAACCTTCACCAGTATAATCAAATCTCATGTGCTATACATGCAGGTTGGGGACCTTGTGGCACGTAGTGCACCAGGTCTCTGTAATCGGCCCTTCAAAAAGTGTGGATGGTCCTGCACAAAACCTTCACCACTATAATCAAATCTCATGTACTATACATGCAGGTTGGGGACCGCTGGTGAATTCCAAATTCCCATAAAACTCCGATATTGGAGCCGGCTCAACCCACCCCGGGTGAATGCTGTTACAAGAACAAGAACAATGGTATTAGCGCATAAGTAATGGATTCGACTGGAATTCGAACTCGGCTCTCCGATTCTTCAAACCGAGCCGCTATCCATTAGTCCGAACCTCTTTGTATTCTGGATTAAAGTCAAGACAGAATATCCTGACACAAAATCACTGAAAGCTCTGCTTCCTTTTTTAATAATATATCTTTGTGAAGCGGGATTTTTTGCAGCGATAATAACCAAAACAAAACTACGAAGTAGACTAGATGTAAAGAACACATTTCGGGTGTCATTGTCTGCCAGATGGGACCGTCTAGTTGCAGGAAAACAACATCAGCACTTCCACTGATTCTATATCATGGTGAGTCGATATTGATGTGATAATATTATAACAGGGATTGATTAAAGGAAATTAAACCCGTAAGGTTTTAGTCGGTCAAGAGTCCAGACCTGAGGTTCAAAAGATTATGCACTTTTTCTTCCTTTTAATAAACTGCTCTTTTCATTTTTGCCCTCTTTATCAAGATGTTCTTAAATTACACATATGTGGGATTACCGGTCCGCGTAAAGATTGTCCGACATAAAGCCGGTCCGTGGTATAAAAAAAAGGGTTGGAGATGACTGGACTAGAGAATTTAATACTCACAGGATAGATTAAAAGTGAAGCTGTTAGGTATTTGGATTAACCTATTTACAGAACAAAGTGATGGTTAATGGTCAAAAAGATGACGAGAACACGAGAGAAGGATGCTGAAAATAAGATGGACGGAGCGAGTATATAAAGAAGTTTTAAGAAAACTAGAAACAACAAGGAAACTGGAATCAGAAAGAGAGAAGAGAAGGAGGAGGAGGTTATGGAGAAAAATGATCGGTCACATTCTGAAAGGACTTGGTCCATAATGGAGAAGTTACGTATGAGGGAGATCAATTATTATTTTAAAATAATATGCAATAAACAGTTAAAAGAGTTACATGCGTTTTATGTTAAATGTATTATTCTGTAAGAAGACAGAATGTATGGTAGCCGAACAAGAGAAAAAGAAAAAAAAAGGAAAAAGAGAATGTATGGTTGTCGAGCAAGAGAAAAAAGAAAAAGACAATGTATGGGGGTCGTCCTCTATGGCAGTGATTGTTGGACAGTCCCCTCACATATGAAGAGGAGAATTGAAACAATGGCGGAACAGGGTTTAGGTGAGATAACGAAAAGAAAAAATTTATTGAGTGCCATGAAGGGGCAGAAAATAGAGAGAGCCATGATCGCCAAAGTGTAACCTTGAAATCCGAAAGTGTATTGAGATAACGAAAGATGCCTTCCAAAAGCTGAGCAAAGTATTAAGAAACAGAAAAATATTGTTAGAAACATAGAAAAGAGTACGGAACTGTTGCATAATATCATTTGTCCTCTATGGCAGTGATTGCTAGACAGTCTCCTCACAGATGAAGAGGAGAATTGAATGTAGTTCTACAGAAGGATGCTGAGAATTCCATAAACCGAAAACAAGAGCAACGACAAAATTTTAGAGAAGAATAGGAACAAAAAGGACACTATACTTATCATCAGAAGAGACACTTGGAATTTCTAGGGCACATAAAGAAGAAAGAATACTTGGAAAATCTGATACTCACAGGAGAGATTGACGGCAAGAGAGACGGAGGAAATCAGTGTATAACATACTTAGTGATCTTGAGTAAATGGATGGCGGAACAGGATTTAGGTGAGATAACGAAAAGAAAAAAAATTATTGAGTGCCATGAAAGGGCAGAAAATAGAGAGAGCCATGATCGCCAAAGTGTAACCTTGAAATCCGAAGGTGGATTGAGATAACGAAAGATGCCTTCTATAGAAACATAGAACAGAGTATGGAATTGTTACGTAATATCAGTCGTCCTCTATGGCAGTGATTGCTAGACAGTCTCCTCACAGATGAAGAGGAGAATTGAAACAATGGTGGAACAGGGTTTAGGTGAGATAACGAAAAGAGAAATATTTATTAAGTGCCATGAAGGGCAGAAAATAGAGAGAGCCATGATCGCCAACGTCTTGAAGGAACTTGACACACACATACACTCACATAAAGAGAGAGAGAGAGAGAGAGAGAGAGAGAGAGAGAGAGAGAGAGAGAGAGAGAGAAGGAAACAAACAGACGAAAAAGAAAGACAAAAGCAAAACGTGGACAATATTTTCCAATGTCGACAACAATTATGCAGGAATTTAAACAAGACAATATTCGTTAGAAGCAAAGAAAAGTGGATTGAACTGTTATGTAATATCATTCTTCCTATATGGCTGTGAGTACTGGAAATTCCTTCACAGATGAGGCAACAGAAATATCGTTCAACAAAAGGATGCGGATAATACAATGGACAGTGTGTACATGCAACGAGGTCTTAAGGAAAATAGAAACAACAATGATACTAGAATCAGAAAGTGTCATTTGAAATTTCTGTGACATATAATGAGGAAAGAGGACTTGGAAAATTTAATACTCGCCGGGCCTATCGAAGGTAAAAGAGACATATGACTCTAGCGAGTAATCTACCTAGTGAACTTGTGTAAATAAATGGCGGAACAGAGATGTGTTTTTTTTTTTTTTGTTGTTAGTCCTGGACTTCCTTCTTTTCTTTCATGCGTTTTGCTTTCCTTTCTTTTCCCCTTTCGTTTTCTTCTTTGTTCTTTTCTTGCTTTCTCATTTTGTCTCGTCCATTTTTCTTTCTTTCTTATTTCCTTTATTTTTTTTTCTTTCTTTTGTCATTCACTTGACTTTATTTTACCCTGTCATATCGACTTAGCACCAGTTTTTGTATTGCCCTCCCTTTTCAGTGTTTATTTCTTCGTTCCTTTCTTTCTTTTTTTATTTGTTTGCTGTTTTTCTTTCTATACATTTTCACTCTTTCTTTCTCTCTTTCTTTCTCTCTTTCTTTCTTTCTTTCTTTCTTTCTTTCTTTCTTTCTTTCTTTCTTTCTATACATTTTATGCCTCCTCTTTTTTCTCTTTCTTTCCGCCTATCCACTTTCTACCTTCCTTTCTTTTTCTCTTTCCTATATTTTTGTTTGTTTTTTGTTTGTTTGTTTCTTTCTTTTTATACAATTTTTCTTTCTTTCTTTCTCCCTTTCGTTTTTTTCTTTCTTCCTTTGCTTGCTTTTTTAATTTATATCATTTTTCATTCATTCTTATTATTTCAACGCTTACTTGTCTCTTGTTTTTCCCCCCTTCATTATTCTTTTAAGTATTTTCTCTTTCTTTTTTTGATTTGTTTTTTTTTGTTTCTTTGTTTATTTATTTGTATACACTTTCTCTTTTTTTCTTTCTTTCTTTCTTAATTTCTTTCTTTCTTTCTTTCTTAATTTCTTTCTTTCTTTTTTCTTTGCCAGTTTCTCCTTTAATTTTTTTCTTTCTTTCTTTTCTTTCTTTTCTTTCTTTCTTTTGCCAGTTTCTCCTTTAATATTTCTTTCTTTCTTTATTTCTTTATTCTTTCTTTCTTTCTTTCTTTCTTTTTTTCTCCTTTAATATTTCTGTAAAAATTCATTTTTTCTTTCTTTCTTTCTTTCTTTCTTTCTTTCTTTCTTTCTTTCTTTGCACTGTCTACCGTCCTTTCTTTGTCGTTGTTATGATTTTTCTTTCTTTCTTTCTTTTTTCTTTCTTTTTTATGGACTTTGTTCCTTTTTTCCTCTTTCCTTCTCATTAATTCTTTTTCTTTCTTTTTGATTTTTTGTTTGTTTCTTTCTTTTTCTGTCCACTTTTACTTTTTCTTTCTTTCTTTCTTTTTTATGAACTTTGTACCTTCCTTTTTTCTCTTTCTTACTATTTAATTCGTTCTTTCTTTCTATACACGTTCTTTCTTTCTTTCTTTCTTTCTTTGCCTGGTTTTTTAGTTCATATAATTTTTAATTTATTTTTTTCAACGCTTACTTTTTTCTTGTTTCTTTTTTCTCCTCCATTAGTCAACTTTTGATTGGTTGCTCTTTCTTTCTTTCTTTAAAAAAAAACAAACTTTCTTTCATAAAAATGTTGTCTCTGTTACATCTCTACTTCTTCAAAAATGACTTCGTCATGGCACTTAATGTCAGAAAATAAGATTCTATCTCTGAACAAAAAAAGGAATAAAATAAAACAAACAAATAAATAAATACCCTACCCCCACAGAAATTGGCAAAATCATTCACTGTGTCCACCAAAGAATTGACGTGACAACCGATACCAAAAAAAAAAAAAAAAGAAAAAAGAAATTGTAGGGCTGCGCGCCAATATTGATTGCAAGTATTTCTCAAAGTCTCGCATTTATTTAACTTGTCACCGGCGTTTAACGGAATAACGATGCGCCATGACGACAGAAGCGTGTATCGTCTGTTGTCATTTCTCATTAGTATTTACGGAACATTATTTTTCGGAAGCGATCTGCTTACTTTAAAATGGTTGGTGAGCTTTTCTGTAGCACTGAAAATGAAGACAATTCCAGATTGACTGCTAATTAGCTGCCAGTACGCGATAAAAAAGTAAGATAAAAAAAAGGGATTATCCTAAATTACTCATTGTTAGTTTATCCAGGCGCTGATTACTGTTGTTTCTAGGTATGACGATAAACTTCATCCGGCAGTAAGACCTCTGATCGGGAAATAGATGATTTTAGAAATGAATAACTTCAGGCCGTGAGAAAAAAACAAGAATTAGTGTTAAAGTTGGCGATTATTTTTTTTATGAGATTGGGGAAGGCTAAACCACCATTGAGCAGTGATTAGCGAAGTAGTTTAGAAAACTATTACTAAAATGTAACTATTTTTCTAAAGAAAAATAAGAACACGATACTAAATCTCTAATAATTAACGTTGTTTATTCCAATGCATACTTTTAATTAACACAACATGATTTTTGGTGCCAAGAAACACGATTTTTTGTGCCAAGAAACAAAAAAGAAAAAAACGTTCTGGCTAATTTAATGGTGCTGATTCCAAGAAAATGGCGTTAGTTTTTCATGATTAGCTGCCGTTTTTGCTGTACTGAAATCGCTCATTTTTGGAAAAAAAGATCAATCTAAGATCTTGGCTGATCGCAAAATTTAGTTAATAAATGTCGTAGAAACCCGTCAATTTTCAGGTAGGCCGAGCAATTTATGTCAGCCACCTAAAATAAACTATTTTTATAAGAAAAAAAAAAAGTGTTTTTGAGTCAAAAATTTAAAAATAGAAGTACCGAAATTTTTCAATTTATCTTGACAAAATTCAAAGTAACTGATAAACTTTATCAATAATACACTTTAGTAAACCTGATAATTAAGGTGACATAAAAAAATAAAACCCTAAAATCTTCTGTTTGATATTCACAAATTTATCACATCACATTTATCCCTTCACTACGGAAGGAAACCAAGCACATTGTGAGCATTTTGTTTTCACAGTTGGAAAGAAACTCCAACTAAAGACATCCCAATTGAATGCACCTATTCCATTGTGCATGATACTGATGGAATATCAAAAGGGACTTAAATAACTTGAATATGGCAGACAATCAAGAAAGAGAAAACGTTTACCATAGTTCTTATGTTCACGAAGGTTTTATTTCTGCTGTTAGTTTATTAAATGATTTGATGAAAATACTTGTTGGTCTTGGTATATTCAATCGTATTATTTTTAAAGGCTTAGGGTCTGATTGTTATTGCAAAAATAGTATTTCTCAAAAAGCAGACCAATATTTGTTGGTTTATTTTATTTGGAGACATATTGCCATCGGTCAGTATCATATATACAGAAAACAAATGGAAAATGCTTTGAGGTCTTTCTGTACAGCAAAAACGGTAGCTAACCAAAAAAAAGTGAAGTCATTTTCAGATTCAGCGATCACAAATTAGCTAAAAATGGATGTTTGGTCTCTCGACACTATTTCAATTTTTTTTTTGTTGACCAGTGACATCGGTGAATGGGTGAGTGACTATGGGGATTTCTCCGAACGTAGATTCTTCTCGCAATGATGCAAAGGGTCCGTTCCCTCGCGTGTAGGTACTTGTATGTCTTCCTGTCAATCGGTTTTTCACTCGTGTGCATCTCCAAAGGCCAGCTGTTTACATATAGAGGTGGGGGGGCACCTACTTACATCTTGTGAGGCGATTTCCGGCATCCAATCGCTAACTTGCTTCTCGGATGGTCTTGTCAGACGATGAATAAAAAGTTTATTCGGATATCATCTAAAGCGAGTCTTTTTCTTCTATATGCCGTGTCCTTTCAGAACATAAACGATCATGGCTCTCCACAACATTCTATTTCGTGTGGTTTTCAGCAGTTTTTCTACCTATGTTAAGGCTCCACTCCATCGTTTTATCATTTATTCACACAAGCTCGTCAGTTAAGTAGCTAGCTGCCTTCCCATATCCTTCTTGGTCTCAATATTCCCTGTAAATGTTAATTTTTTGAAGATTTCTTCTTTATTATGTACTCAACGAATGATTCTGAATATAAGTGTTCTTTATTTTGCCATTTTCTTTAACACTACCTTGTGGCATATTCGCACCGTCCATGGAATTCTCAGTATCCTTCTGTAGAACCACATTTCTGCTGAGTCTAGCTTTTGTCTCATCTGTGGGGAAATTGTTCAACATTCACTGCCAAATAAGAGGTTGATTATGACATAGCAACTCTTTTCTTTGTTTCTGACGAAATCTTTCCGTTTCTTTACACCTTTTGGAAGGCCGCTTTCGCCAGTTCAGTGCATACTTCGAATCTCGGTGTCACATTTTCCATCCTCTGTTAAAACGCTTCTATTTTTTCCTCATTAAAGAAAAAAAAAACGGCCTCTGGTAAGAACTTTCCCGTAATGGTTAAGTTTACAACACCCCCACCGTCACTTCAATTTGACCGTATTGTGGTTAAATTTCCTATACAGGCCGGACATTTTTAAGAAGTCCTTATTTCGTAAACTGAAAAGCATCTTCACTATGTTTGTTTTTACGTGTATGCTAAAGGGTGGGTTCAACCAGATGATGTTCCTTTTTCTTTTTCTAGTATTATCTGTTCTTAGGTTCGTTTAGTCATTGAAACACAGGTTGGCGTTATGTCCCTCTTCTCTCAAAGTATATATAAAATAAAATATATATATATATATATATATATATATATATATATATATTTTTTTCTTTTTCGGTGAATATGTCTTCATTTGAATAATTTTTGACAATCTGCATTGTACGCCTAACAGGATAAGTTTACACACACACACACACACACACACACACACACACACATATATATATAAATATATATGTATATATATATGTATATGTATATATATAATGTGTATGTATATAAATATAAATACATATGTATATATGTGCAATTTTTATATATATTATTTATATATTATATATGTGCCGTACTTATTGGAAAGTGCTCAATATCAGTGATAGAGCTAACATATTTAGTTGGATTGATGTGAGTGTGTGACCCTGGGTTTCAAGCTTTTGCGATCGTCATAATAGCTGTCCGACGATCGCAAATAGCGTGAAACCCAGGGTCTAAACACACACACACACACACATATATATATATATATATATATATATATATATATATATATATATGATTATATTAAATGTAAGAATAATCTTATAAAATAAAAATTATACTCGCTCAAATAAAACTTTCGGTGTCTTGATTTGCAAATAATCAAACCCATACCAAAGGGAAAAGGTATAAATAAAGAAAGAAACAAGAACATGTACGTCAGTAGAAAATAATCGTCTAGCATAAAAGTCAAAAGTCCAAAGAAAAAAAAAACGATAGGAGTAAGGAAAATAACTAAATAAAGTGCTCAATACAGTAAGTAGAGCAGACTTAGGAAAACCTAGTTCAGATAGACAAATCTACCAAGGTTTCACCTAAACGGATCTTCAGGGAAAGCTTGCCAGAATTCCTTATGCGATCCGCTTAGGTAAAACCTTGGTAGGTTTTTTAGACCTCTAGGTTTAACTATATATATATATATATATATATATATATATATATATATATATATATATATATATATATATTAGTGAATGTGATAGATTTTTGTATTAATCTGACAGATTTTTAGCGCTGAGGTCAACACTGAGCGATGACAGTTTGGTGCTGAGAATACCATGGACCAAACCTGTGAATAGTGACAAGGTTTTAGAGGCAATGCTAACAAGAAGGGCACATAATTAACATCAGTGAGAGACAGTTGAAATTTCTAAGGTACATAATGAGAAAAGAGGGCTTGGAAAATCTGATATCCACGGGACAGATTGAAAGCCGGAAAGACAGGAAAACAACGCATAACTTACTTGACGAACTTGAGTTAATGGATGGCGGCTCAAGATTTGAGAGAGATGACAAAAAGATACAATTTTTTAAGAACAACAAAGGAAAATGTCGAGAGCCATGATCGTCAACGTTCTGAAGAAGCACAACACATAAGAAGGTTTCCCATACGGCTAGCCTAAGTTTATTATAATAAAATGTTGGCGCCTTGCTCTTTGGTAACTGTCATAGACTTGGGGACTACAACTGTACTGTATTGAATACAAGTTTCACTTGAACGCCATATTTCTAAATTTAGTT